TTTACGACTGAAAGATAAGAGAACATGGTTACGCTCTCTGTGGAATAAGAATTTCTTTTCGTCGTTGGAACTTACACGCACAAAGAATTCACAGTGCCATCAACTCTCTCGCAGAGGTCTCAAAAATAGGTAGCTGCAAAAGAATCTCACAAATCTTGATAACTCAATTATTGGCAATTATCTGGGGAAGATCGACGCCATAAAAAAATCGTTTATTTTACCCCGTAGAGGTACGAAATACCAATGAACTGCAGCGAAGTATTTACCTGTTCATTATTAATCTTACAGTAAGGATCCAGCCTATAGTGCTTCGTAACAATCAGTTAAGAAATGAGCAGCAAATCACACCTGTGAACTACGAGAATTTCATGGTAACGTGGAGCGATCGAGTAGAATTTACACTTAAATCATGCATGCACAATATTGCGACCGGGCTTGAGTTGCAATCTGATTATCTTCTGAACCTATTCACAAGGAGGACTAAACCTTTAAAACAATTGGCACCATTTGTTCATCCTGGAGGAAAAACTCGCGCTGACCAGCTAACTGCAAAGCATTTCTAGTACGAAGTGTCGCTGATGACACATGGTCGTTACGCTGCCTACCCCTTGATCCTTCTGCTCCCTGAGTGAGCGTCTCCGGTCGTTTGCGAGCAGGTGCTGATCACTCCCAGATGCTGTACCCTTTGTAGTAGTCTGCACCAATGAATCCAGTTGGTTACTTAGGCTGTACCTTATCCTAGTCTTTTGCGTGGATGTCACAAACTGCCTGCATTTAATTGCAGCCGGCGGTCTCTAACTGTTGCAGTATAGCAGCATTTCACATAAACTTATTGGATAAATGATTAAATCAGTATAGTGTGTAAGCAGCAATAATAAATCAATCAAGCGACAGCAAAGGTCGAGCAGCAACTACAGTAGTGAGAATAGAACGATGGAACGCTTACACTAACTATCGAACTGAAGTAGCTTTTAGTGAACAACACCACTTGAAAGCACATACACCTGATACATGATCAGACAAATGGTCTACGGTTTTGCCATCGTTTGTTCGTTCATCCTGCAAATAAGGTAAAAGCAGAATGCGCCAGAATCATGTTAAGCAAATATTTATAATGATGATCGTCGCCTTTGCTTCTGGATTTCTAGTCAACGGCGGTCAATGCCCAAGGACAGTCAACAGCCATGAACGATTATTGAAACATGCGAACAGAAACACAGATGACACAAACGATGTTCAGCCGATAACCAGCGTTAAGAAACAGGCAAAGAATACCAACGGGTGATCAGTTGGAAGGGCCGACACGCAGTCTCGGTACTCGATTCCTGTGGGAACCGTACAGAAACGTCAGAAACAGTAATGTGAACATGATCAACGAGAAGACGGCAGTGCGGTCGAAATACTGTGGATACATATACAGGACGGTCCACAATGTGATGAACTTGATGGTGAAAATCACGTAAACGTACTGGCCAACGTCGAACGCCAAGAGCGACCGCCATCGGGTCGCCTCATCGTTGCCGTCCACAGCGTTCTGAGTCCTGTCCCTCTGTTCAGAGGCCGGGAACTGCGCGCGGCCGCTCACGTAACAGTGCATCACGCAGTGGTCATAGACGCCGTAGCTGGCCAGTGATCGCGCGTCGTCCTGCAACAGCTGACCGCGATATATGAGTCGGACGATTTTGCCGTCCTTTATATCGTCGTCAAAATTTTTCCTAAAATTAAAAACAAATTATACTTTTTGGGTATAATAGAAACTATCGACAAAGAACATTACATGCGAATAAATCAACGAAATGATGTTTGTTACGACAGAAACCTTCCGTTCCTCCTCTCCCCGCGCTTATCGTATGTAGGGGTACAGAGTATCATTAGCGGTTACACGATCTCGGGTTCGCTTATCATGCAGCTTCGTTGAATTATTAAAGAACAACTCATAAAACATTTAACCTAAGTACACCAAAGCGTGACAAAAAAATTCGGGATACAAGCTGGCAGGATAAAGTTTAAAGTTGGGAGGGGATGGGCTGTGCGCAGTGGACTGCCAAGCTATTCTGAACTCAGGTGCCGAGTTCGAGTCTAAGGGGCGCCGTAAAATTTTCTTGGTAAAATTGTTAGTTCTCTTGAGAAAGAAACTCATCTCCTAGCCAACTGTCTTCAGTGCAACCAGTCAAGAAAAT